GGACGTTTTTGAAAGGTTCATCCTCATGAGTTTTACTTTGATGATTTAATTCATTTATTTTATAAGTTTTTTTAAATAATTTATCCATTCAAAAATTAAATTAATTGAATAATCAAACATATATGATTAGATTAGATTTATCTATAAAAATAAGATGGCTAGTAAAATTTAGAGGATAAATCATCTATTTTTTTAAAACAAATATAAATAAATTACATGATTACAGTTATCTGAACAAGATAAAAAAATTTCTAAAATGAACAAATCACATCAGGCTTCGTTTGGCAAGAGGAGTTTGGGGCTTTTTTGGCTATTTTAGCCACAAAAGACAAAATATGCTATTTTAGTCACAAAAAATAAAACATCACATCCAATCCATAATCATTACACTCTTCTCTCACAAAAAAAGTCAAAAAAGTCAAAAAGCCAAAAAGTCTTTCCCAAACCAAGTTTTTTAGTCCAGGCTAAAATAACCAAAAAAACCAAAAAGTCAAAAAGTCAACCCACTTCCCAAACGGAGGCTAAAGTATAATATGAGTGGAGTCGAATAAACTAAGGTGCCTTTTGTTTTGGTGGATAGCGGTGAGAATGAGATTGAGATGTAAATAGGACTCATTACATCTTGTGTTTGTTTTAAGAGATGGAGACAGGATTCATAATTTCATAGGATTAGGATGAGCCTTGGTGTTAGGATTGAGATGAAAGAAGTAGAGGTGGTATTAGGAAATTAATTCTCTGACTTAGGTTTTTTTTTTTTCATGTTGGCCATTTTCTTTTAACATTAATGTTTAATGTTTTTTGTATTTTTTTTTTAGGTAAAAATCATAATTTTATTTGTTTTAATATTTTATATTTCTTCTATAGGATAATAATTTAACAATTTTTACACTAATAACTATCATCAAAATAAATATAATTTTACTTAATTTTCTTACTATCAATCATTCCACAGCAAAAAAACAAACTAGCCTAATAGCACTCTCCATTTAGGATTCTAACTTGAAAATACCCTGATTGGACCTGGATTCTCTCTAGCAAGAATATTTAATTGAACGGTCCAATTAAATATTTAAATTGGATGGTCTAATTTGATTTGTTAGAGCATTTTTAATGGTGTATCAAATTTTTCATTAAATTTAAGTAAAAATTATATTTGATAGGCCTCGTTTGGCATAACCTATATAATTTATCTGTTTATCTTTTTATCTTTTTTTCATCACATCACCTCTCTACTTTTCTGCACATCTTTTCGTAAAAAGAAAAAAAAGTGTACTTTTTTAGAATACCCCAAACAACGGAGGTTTTTAAAACTTTATCAGAACGCCAGTCAACTGGATGGACGACCAACCAGCCAATCAATTGGCCAGTGTAAACTTTTCACAAATATTTGCCTTGAGGTGGTCATCCGGGAGGTCGACCGGCAAATATAACTTTTTTATAAATTTTTGTCTTCAGGTGGTCATTCAGGGAGATATCCAAAGGGACATCCGGATAGACATCCGGTGATAAAAATTAAATGGCTGTGAATAATGATTTGATGAAAGACACATTGATCCTCAGTTTGATGAAACAAAAGTGAAATCCTAGATTTGATACCTATTTGATGAAAATGTTAAACCAGAAAAATGCACTATTTTTCATCAAATTCAAATTTGATGAAAGATTTTAGTAACCATTGAATGGTCTTATGGGCTTATTTTAGATCTGTTTCAATTATTCAAATTGTTTATTTTGTAAAATTTTTTAAAAAGATCATATATACAATAATCAAGTAGATCAGATATCGAGAGCTACTTGATCATATCATATTTATTTGAAAAATAATAAATGTATCACATAATTTTAAAAACAATCCGTTAATTATTTTTAAACTAATGTGATCAATTGAATAGAACTTGATGTTCAATCAACTTAATTTTATTTTATTTTTTTGTGTATTATTTTTTCAAAAAACCATACCTCATATTTTAGGAGACAGATCCCTTCCAATTTAAAATCTAGATTGGAGAGCTTTGTTTGAGTTTGCGAGGCTCACTACGGGCCCCATTTTAATGATTCGAACCGTTCATTTTATTAAATATGTTGTTTTTTTCATTCACAAAAAATTAAGTCAATTTGATAATCATAACCTATTCAATTTACTGTATTTTTTACCAAATAATGGACGGTAATTATGTTTTTAAAAATATGCTATATATTTTTTTGTGACAAACTTAATAAATTGAAAATTTATAATTATTGGATCAATTAATTTTTTGTCTTAATAAAATACATAATGTATCTAATAAAATAAATAATTCGAAACATTAATATAGAAACTATAATAGACCCTACAAACTCAAATAGCACCAGTCCATTTAGATTTTAGACTTGAAAAAAATATACATTTCATATTTTAAATCATTAAAACAAGAGCTCTGCTACAGAGCCCGAAAGGGTTTCGAGCCAAATTTGGCTCGAATTTGAGAAGGAGGAGGAAGAAGAAGAAGGGAAGGAGGGGGAGGGGGAGGGGCCTAAAAAATGGAGAAGGAGGGGCTGAGGCGAGGCAGACGCGATCGGCGGAGGCGACGCGATCGGCGGCGGGAGGCGTAGGCGACGCGACCTCTCTCTCTCTCTTTCTCTCCCTCTCCCTCTCTTTCTCTCCCTCTTCCTCTGCATTGCAGAGGTCGAAAATGGCGGAAAAAAAGAAAAAAAAAAAACAAAAAACAAAACAAAATACCCAAAACAACGTCGTTTTAAGCATTCGGGATATTCGAGCCAGGCCTTTCGGTCCCTCAAACATTTTCCTTAAAACAAATTCACAATAATTCGAACTGTACCGTACAATTAACTATTAAACGGGAGGCGATCCATAGAAAAGTAGTCCATTGTATATAAAGAGAGGCGAGGCAATCGAAGTGTTGAACGAGTCAAAAAAAACTTCCACACAACACAACAGCACAGCAACCAAAGATGTGTCTCTTTGTGTTTTTAAAAAAATTTTTTTTTTTGTTTTTCGCGCTTTGGGAAAAAAAGAACCAAGAGGTGAGAAATTTGAACGATGCAAACTAGTGGAGAAGTGGAACTAAACATAACGAATTAGGCTTTTTCTCACATTCACATTTTAATATAAGAGACATTGAAGAGTTTGTGAAGTTAATATAAGTTTCGTTTAATAATTTAAATTATTTATTTTTTAATATTTATTAAATAAAACATTTATATAAAAAATTAAAATAATTTTCTATTAATAGTTTTATATTTAAATTAAATTTATATTATAAGAAATTAATAATTATTCTTAAAATTATATTTATCGTTTATTTTTTAAAAACATATATAATTCAAAAAATAAATGTAATTCTTGATTTTTAAAAACAAACATATAGGTATGGAATTTTAATTATCTTAATTTTATATATAAATATTTTATTCAATAAGTTTCAAAAAATGAAAAGATTTGAATCACCGAAATTGATTTCAAAATCAACTTAGCAAATCTAAACTGTATCTCAAGTCGAGATAATAACTTGAAAGAAATAAAACACGAGAAATAGAAGATGCATAACATTTACATATATTTTTAAGGATTTAAATTTTTCAAGTTAGTGATCTTAATCTGAAATAGTATTTGAACTTAATGACTATCTTTCTTTTGCTTTTAAATATTATTTAAATATATAATTATTGATATTTTGTTATTTTAATTTTTTATATAAATATTTTATTACATAAATTTCAAAAAATAAATAATTTTAATTATTAAAATTAAAAATAAATAATTTAAATTATGGAGATCAGTCTGATTACAAATGTTCTAAAATTTTGAAAGATTAAATTTGAAAATTTTTAGAAATTATGTTATGAATATCAAATAATCTATTAAATTTTTTATCAAAACTTCTCCTCAATAAAATCTGCACAGATTCTATATCCATACAAAAGGGGTGATAAAAAAATTAATAAATTATTTAAGATCTATAATATTTTTTAAATTTTAAATCCTAAACTTATGTACAGTGACCAGTGACATACAAACATGTCGCAGACCCTTTAGGTGGGACCCTATTAATTCCACCCCGTACGGCACACTAGCCACATCAGCTGTCCCCACCACCCTCCACTGTCTACACCTTCACGCCGAAGGAACCGCCCACCCCACCAAAGATCCTCTAGAGTAAAATTTTTCTAAAGTTTCCTAGAGTATTATATTGTGTGGTTGAGATTTAATGGCAAGTCACATCAGAAAAATTGATGTGACTTGCCAGTAAATCTTAACCACACAATGTAGCACTCTAGAAAACTTTAGGAAAAAATCACTCTAGAAGATCCTTGCTCGCCCACCCCATTCTTTTTTTTTTTTTTAGCAAGGATGCTGTAGAGTGATTTTTTTTTAAAATTTCTTAGAGTACTACATTATATGGTTGAAATTTATGTACAAATCACATCAATTTTTCTGATATGACTTGTCAATAAATCTCATCCACACAATATAACACTCTAAAAAATTTTTAAAAAATTTCACTCTAAAGATTTGGGTGTTTTTTTTTACCTTCCCAAATCAAAATCCACGCCCCAGATACTTCTATAACTTTTGTTTGTACAATTTCCACTTCTCTTTACCAATATTTTATTTTATTATTAATTGTTTGCTAGAACCATGTCAATTCTTTCCCCTTCCTTTTTAACTTTTTTGTTTTGCACTACAATACCATACCATTACCCAACCAAAAACAAAAACTCTACCATACCATTACCTCCATTTAAAAATAAAAAATAAATAAAATGAAAATTTTAAATAAATTATACTACTAATCCCTCTCAATTTTGAGTAAAATTTCATTTTAATCATTGTAAATAGGTAATTTATTCATTTTGATTTCTTAATTTTTTTAAAATACTAAGACCACGAGAGATTTAAATGTAAAATCTTACTGGATCCAACAGTGCAAATATACACTCAAATCATGAACATCATCCCTTGCCTGATGCCACGTTGTTGAAAAAAACAAACAAAAAAATGAAATAAATAAAGCACAATTTAACAGCTTATTAATAAATTTATACTTGCAATGGGATATTACATGAAGAGGGTTGTGGATTTCTCTTCATCTACAAATATTGCCAAGAGACCCACTCTATCATCAAAAACATCAAAACAAAAACCAACTACACAAATCCCCCCTCTACTCCTTCCTTCAAACCATTACTAATTTATGCAATTCTAAAAAAAAAAAAAGGTTTACACTTCACCCCCTTTATTACAAACCAAAAAGCATCCTCTACCATACCCCCCTAACCATTCCTCCTTTTTTTTCTTCATTTCTAGCCCACAAAAACTTGCAATCTCCCACTAAAAACTTCGGATCTCCTTATTTTTCTTTCGTCTTCTTCTTCCCTAAACTACAACTCCTTATATTACCCTTCAATTCCAATTACTCTGCCTAAAAAAAACCAAACAACATTTCAGTATCATAACCTCCTCCTACCTTCTTCTATACTTTTACTTCAAAACAACACCTACACCAAAAGACAAGTTTGAGACTATTTCAAGCTGGTGCAAGTCAATAAGTCCACTCCTGAGGGAGGCTCAATTCATGGTTCATTCCCCCCTCCGGCCGCAAAATCCGATTTTGATGGGTCAATGCCGCATTCGCCCGAGGCATCATCAAAGTATCTGCAAAACCAAACCCCAAGAATATTTAACAAGATCACATTTTAGTAATTCTACAGTTCATTGCCGGCATCAATTGCGAATTCTTATAGTCATTGACCCCTATCTTTCGTTTCCCTTTCAAAGGAATCAAAACAATTTAAGTTTTACAATTTAGCATCGTGTTAGGTCTAATAAGTCTATGACATTGATTTACCATAGTCCGGAATGAACGAACCGTTGGAGCGGGCCTGGGCCTGGGCCTGAACCTGAGCCTGAACAGTCATGTGGTCGAAGTTCTTGTTGAGAGCCTGGACGACCCTAGCTGGAAGAAGAGCAGTTGAACAGCCTGTAACAGAGACCATGTTAATAAAGAGATATATAAATCAAATCGACATCCAAATTGCTTTCGGCACATGCCCATCTACTAATTGTCATCATGAATAATCTTGTGATTATGACAGAAAAGCAAGAATAAATATATTCTAGATCTAGAAAAAGAAAAAAAAAATATGGGTACATTTTTGCAGTCAAAATTGGGACCCAAACAAAAATACAAAGAACAGAGAAAGAAAAGAAACACTGATAAAAGCATTTGGTGACCGAAATATATATATATATATATATTAAAAAAAGGGGGGAAGTACACATCCATAAAGGAATTCATGTTGGCCAAGTGAAGTATATCTGGTGAAAAAACCACTGTTGCCCTGTTTGGTTCACGAGAAAAATCAGGAAAATAAATGACTAAACATTTAAAATCTGGCCAACTGGGGCCTAGTTTAGTTGAAACAGAGACCGACATAATAATTTGAATTATTCAGGATATGGGGGTTTTAAAAGCTTGGGAAAACAAACAAAAAAAAAAGCCCAGAAAACGTAAAATGAGAATTCCTTTCGCTTTTCCTCTGCTTTCTCAGTAGCCAAACACAGCTCAACGCGAACTAATGAACAGAAAAAAGGACAAACCCAGAAATTAAAATTAACAAATAAAGCCAGAGAAATCCATAACGCATGAGGAAACTCAAGTGAGAACAGAACTAGCAATTACCTGTCTTCTTGCGGGGCTCTGTAGTGTTGTTTCCATATCTGCGAGGTAAAAACACACCGGTGCCAGCGCACTCCCTCTTCACACCAGATCCGCCGAGAAACACAGCTCTCATGCCGGAACTACCGTGTTGGGAGGGCTGGGCTTGGTGGTTTTTGTGCTGAACTTGCAAAGGAGGCCATGCAGACTGAGGCAAACCCAGTGGCCTCGCATATCTTCCATTATTATTCTCGAACCCACCTCCATTAACAACTCTCCCTCCTCTGTTTTGACCCATCATCTGTTGCTGAAGCTGGTTTTGCTGTGAAAACAAACCCTCTCTGGTTTGTCTTCCCCAAATCAAAGAAGAGCACTGGTGTTTCATCATTTGGTCATGCCTCGCTTGCTCAAACTGCAAAACAAAACAAAACAAAAACAAACCCAAAAATCAACAAACTAGATGAGAAGAGGGAACAAGTATATACACATTATGAGACTCACTCACATGATTGGACTGTGAGAGGTTGTGAGAGAGGCACTGATTGGCATAGAAAGAGGTGTTGATGTTTTTCAGAGGCGGTGGAGCGAGAGACCAAGGAGGGCCGAGAAGGCCTCTGGGTTTGGGAGGTCCTTCATCGTTCATCTTCAACCTCGCCACTTGTCCCGCGGCCTCGTAAATCAGATCCCAAGAGTCGTTGTTTCCACCCGGCGGCGTAGTCGGCGGTGAAGGGCCGTTGGGGCTTTCGAATGCGCTCAGCGTCGATTGAGGCGAACCGGACAAAACCCAGGACTTCTGAGTCAACACAGATTACAAAATCACAACTCATTTTCACGGAATCGACACCCGAAAAGGAAAATACAGCCAGAAGAAATCGAAAGCATACCTCGAGATTTTGAGGAGCAGAGGCCATTTTCTGTGCTCTTTCTTGCAGAGTGAAACGAGCCAAGCGGCGAGTCAACCCGGCGAGTAAGTCCTCCTCGTCGCTCTCGGTCTCGGTTGAACCCACGACAGACTCAACAGGCGAGTAGGAGCCAAAATCATAGGGAAGGCAAAGTTGGGAAAAAAAACAGAGTTAAGGCCATTTTCATTGAAGCTTTCTTTGCCCATGCGTATGTCGTCGCGTAGGGAAAGTCAGTGGGGAAGGCAAAGGTAGGGCCAAAAGCAGAGTTGAGGGCATTTTTGTTGAAGTTTTCTTTGCCCATGAGTATGTCGTCGTCGGTGAGGAACTCCGAGGGAAGCCAAAACTCTCCGTTGGCGTGAGTGTGAGCAGCCATAGCAGCGAAACAACCCAAAAGAGAGGCAAATAGACCCAAAAGAGAAGGATAATAGTGAAGAGAGAGAGGGAGGTAAGTTTGATGGGCGTTCGTTGCTGGTTGGAGAAGATTTAATAATGACCCAAGTGAGTTTTCTGCTGTGTTTTGCAGGCTGAGGGCCCCATCAAAATAAGCAACAGAAATTTTTTTAAAAAAATTAATAATTAAAAGAAGACGAAGGCTAAGGGTTATTTTGAGAAGATGGTAAAAAGTGATTTTTTTAGCTTTTAATTAAGTTTTTAGTTTTTTTAGACAAATAATTTGGAAAGTTGATAAAAAGTGACTTTTGACTTTTTGATTAATATTTGTTTAGGATGTCAAATCATAAAATAATGACCAAACTATCCTATTTATTTAAAATATTTACAACTTTACCTATGTAACACATTTTGACCCATGAAGGATAAAATTGTAATTTCACCGTTGGCTAAAAACTAACTTTCCAAATGAAAAAAAAAAGCCAAAAAACCCAACTTTTGGCTTTTGCTACTAACCAAAAAAAGTAGCTAAAAACTATGTTGCCAAAATAAGCCAGAGTGTATTATAGGTTTCCTTTGGTATAGGTGTGTAAATATGGTTTGAGAGTATGAGTCATATTTTAAATTTGTGAGTTATAGAATTATTATTTGAGTATAGAAAATTTGTTTAGTTACAATTTTTTAATAGAGTGTTGAATTGAGTATGGAATTGAGTTTTAAAAGTTTGATTTGACATGTGAAGTAAGAAAATTTGTTTGATTATGAATTTTAGAAAAAAAATTTAAAATAAATATTCAAAAAATTTAAATCATAAATATTTAAATAATTTAAATAATCTAAAAAATTTAATAAGTAAGAAATTAAAATAAATATTCAAAAAATTTAAATAGTAAAAATTTAAATAATTTAAATATTCAAAAAAGTTAAATAATTTAAAATGTTAATATTTTGAATTTAAAAATAATTCTACACTCAAATCGTAATCAAACACATAAAACAAAACTCAATTAAGAAGTTATTTTTAAAGCTCATAACTAAACACATAACTCAAAATTTCATACTACTTTCGCAACTCTACACTCAAATCGTAACCAAATACATAACAAAAAAATTAAAATATTTAAAAATAGTTTGAATTTATTTTTATAAAATATTTTAAAATTTAAAAAATTAAAATCGTAATATTTTGAAATTAAAATATTTAAAAATATTCAAAAAAATCGTAACATATTAAAATATCAAAATATTTAAAATCTTAACAAAATTAAAATAATTTTAAAATATTTAAATATTTAAAAAATTAAAATATTGATTTAAATTGAGTTTTGAAAAGAGTTTTGAATTATGTGTTTGGTTATGAATTTTGAAAAGTAATGATTATGTTTTGAATGGAGATTTGAGAAATGGATGTAGAATTGTGATTTGAAAGCTCAAAACAAACAACACACCCAAATCAATGGGTGAAACTATAATTTGGAAGGTTTACCAAATGGAATTTTTCAATACTTCTTGCAGTATTTATTTTGAAAAGTGTGTTAAAAGTTAATTTTTAATTTATATTATTTTTTATATATTTTTTATAAAAAATTAAAAATTAACTTTTAATTATTTCTTCAAAATAGATCATTATTAATAATAATTTATAATAAAAATTTGAAAGAAAAAAAAACAAATTATTGTTTTGTAAATTTTTTTATGATAATAAATTACTTATTTTTCTTATTTAGCGATGTGATACTTTATATTAATTTTAAAATTTTTATTATATAACATATTAATTAATAATTTATAGTACACTTTCTTTTATCAAGCTTGTTATTTATACTATTATTAAATGAAGATTTAAATTGACTTAGATAAATATTATTTTTCTCATATCACGTGACAACTTTAAATATGTTATAAAAAAAATGTCGCATGACAACTTTAAATATGCGAAAATAAAAATATAAATATATTATAAACAGTGTAAACAAGTTTTGAATCTAAAATTTTGAGTTTCATTAAGAATATACTTATTATTTAAGTAACATATATATTAAGATATTAAATTTTTTATTATTAATTATCTAAATTGCATACGTATTGCGTGTGCCATCCACTAGTAGAATTTTATAGTAGGGTCAATTGTGTAATTGAAAGTAGACCTCTTTTGAGAATATAGAAAAAAAAAAGTTAATTTATTAATTTATTTAAGTCAAATCATCTCATTATTTTTTTATATATTTAAAAAAAATAAATAAATTATTTGTTTATCTTACTTTTCAAAACAAATCTTAAGAGTTTTTATACTTTTTTTTTATTCAAATAAAAAAATAGGTTTTTATACTTTTTTTTTATTCAAATAAAAAAATAGAGTTTTTACACTAATTAAGAAGATTGCTTTATATTACTATTAATTTTTGTCACCGTGTCGTATCACCAAGTGCCTAACAAAATATTACTATTATCATTAATGATTAATAATTATTACCTACCAAGAAATTAATCATAATAGTTCATATAATTAATTGTGACAAAGAGACGGTGACATATAACATTTTTCAGTGAGAAATTCAAATTGGTCAACTCATATGCAGGTTTCATTTGACAATATTTTTAAAATTAAATTTATTAATAATTAAAAAGTTTATTTTGCCAAAAAAAATTGTAAATTATTTGAAAATACCTATTTTCTGTCAAAAGTATTCAATCGCTTTTAAATGTCATTAGAAAAAAAATTAAAAATAAAAATATATGAAATAGACTAACTTTTTTTAGCATTAATGTTTTTATAATTTTTATATCATGTTTATATCATGGGTCCGTAGATAATGATATAATATTAAGGGGTTATTGAGGAGCAAGCTAAAAAAAAAAAAAAAAAAAAGTAAAAAATCAACTTTTATTCATTTTAAATCACATCTTTGTCACGTAAAAAATTTAAAAAATAAAAATTTAATTTTTAATTAATTTCTCAAATCACTACTAAATAATAATTTACTTTAAATGTCATTAGGAAAAAATTAAAAAAAAATTAAAAATACATAAAATAGACTATCCTTTTTTAGCATTAATCACTTTGTTTGGTTTGAATTTTCTAAAAACACTTTTCAAAAAAATTAACTTTCTTGTTTTTCGTATTTTTTTAATATTTTAGGTAATTTTTTTAATTTTTAGATACAGTTAACATAAATACAATTAAAAAGTATAGTTTTGTGAAAAAAAAATTTAAAAAAATTCACTAAATACCAAAAAAATATGAAAATTTTTGTATTTTTGTATGTTTATTAATTTTTTTAAATATTTTTTCACAAATATTTTACTTTTTAGACACATCTAAGTAAGATGTATCTAAAAAATTAAAACAATTCTTAAAATTTTAAAAATATTCACTAAAAATAAAAAAATATGAAAAATAAAAAATTTAATTTTTAAAAAACTTAATTCAAAAAATTTAAACCAAGCAAAGTGACTATTTTTTATAATTTTTATATCATGGGTCCATAGATAATGATATAATATTGAAAAATATAAAAAATTTCAAATATAATGATATAATATTGAAAAATATAAAAAATTTCAAATATTTTATCAACATTAAATGTTTCACATGGGTGTGGTACTCACACCACGTGAATCCCACTTCCATTTAAGATATTTAATAAAAATATTAATAAAATATTTAAGATTCCTAGCGTTACTCTATAATATATAATAATTTTTTAGGAAGGGAGGTAGTAGAAAATGTAGGGTCTATGCGAGTCACACTGTTATATGAAATGTTTAATAGAAACATTAATAAAATATTTAAGATCTCTAGTATTATTTTGTGGGTGTTTGGGAAGTTACTATTTTAGTAGGTTATTTTAATTTTTGGCTATTTTTAGAGATTAAAATTTTTATATTTAGAAAGATAATTAGATTTTTTTGTAGTTAGATGTGATATTTATAAGAAAAAAATAAAATAATTATGAATTTAATGTGATATTTTATCGTATTGATTATTTTAACTTATTTTATCATTACTATTATTTTAATCCAAAAAAATTAAAAAAGTAAAAAAAATAAAAAATAAAAAAAAATAAATGTTTCTTTCCAAATACCACTTTTTGATATTAAAATAATAATTTTCAGGGAGGGAGGTAGTGGAGAATGTTGAGGACACAGCTGCTTTTATTAAGGTAGCAGGACAGACGGTTCAAAATCGAAATGGATAGGGGGAGATTGTGGGGTTGAGCGGGAAACCAAACACAGCACATCAAGGACACACTCTCACCACAGACAGGCATCAACCTCAACTCTCTGGCCCAGTTGTTTCGATTCTTTTGTCCCGTTCAACGCACACCTCACTGGGTATCACTTGCATTTTGCATTTTAAATTATATTTATGAACTATAATCCAACATATAATGAAAGAGGTCTTGAATCATAATTAAAATAATGAAAGTGTTTGAAAAGTAATTAGTATTTTAATTGATTTTTTTTATAGAATAACGTATAAAAAGTAAGGAGAGTAATGTGATTGAATGTTATAATTTAGGATGATTTAAATAAGTACACTCTTTGATTTTTTATAAAATATGAGTTGGGTATGGATTGAGTTTGAAGTGATGTGATAGAGAGGTGATTTGACTTAAATAAGATAATATGACTTAAATAAGATAATGACTTTTTAACTTTTTAAAGTTATAACAAACAATACCTTAATATCACGATGCATTATAATTAACATCATAAGAGCATCTCCAATGGGAGCTGCTATTTCACTTGCCAAAGCTAAAAAATGACAAGAATGGCAAAAGCAGGTCTCCAATGGTCTGCTATTTCACTTGCCAAAGATGACAGATGCCATATGTGTTGTCAAATATGGCAAGTGAAATAGCAGCTGCCAAGCTTGCCAAATCAGCAAAAGTGAACAACAATTTGGCACCAAATTCAGTTGAATACAACAGAATTTAAACAGTAGGGAACCCATTTTTCAAAATCAAACCCAATTTTGAGATGAAAACAAATTTCAGAATGAAATTGAGACAAACCCAAATTCAGTTTCTCAAATTTTATTTATTTTTATTTTTTTAATTCATTTATCACCAAATCTCAGTCAGATACGAAG